TTCTAATCTGTTCCACTGGTCCTCAAGTCTGTTTCTTTGCCAGTACCATGCTGTTTTTATCACAGTAGCTTTGTAGTATAGTTTCAAGTTGGGGGGTTGTAATAATCCCTGCCATGAAAGTGTAAATAAGGACTAAAAGGTATAATAGATAATGTGAAATAGGAAAAAAAGGGGCAAAGGGGAAGGGGAAGTGGGAGGGGTAGGGGCAAGGAAAGAAGGGAATGGAATTAATATGAGAAATGAAAAAAAGGAAACAATGTCTTTGTAAATAGAGAGGGAGAGAGGGGTTGAAAGGAGGGCAGGGGAAGGGGGACAAAATAAGAACCAAGAGAGTATGTAAAGGTGCAAATTTCCTATGATGAATGTCATTATATTGTATACCTAGAATGTACCAATAAAAGGATATACAGTTTTACAAAAAAATGAATTATGGTCTAGTGCAGCCTCATGCTTCCCTGCCAACTGCTGGGCATTGTCCCCACAGAGCTGTATGCAGCACAATGGCCTGGAGCAGGATGCCTTGGGCCTGTATGCCATGTGCCTACACCAGATACTGGGCCCCACAGGAACAGCAGAGGCCCGCTCAGGTGCAGGGTGTGAGTGTGAACAGAGGAGAACTGAGAGGACCTTTGGGGCTAAATAACAACTTCAGCACCTCCTCCAAAGCTTGGTAAACAGAGGGCCCATGGTCCTGGTCCCAAAAGAGTCTGGGGTCTCCTCTTCTCAACCTCAACATTCTTTCCGCTCAGCCACACACTTGGCCAGGTGCACTGTCACTGCCTTCAGGTTGGTGGGAGCATCACAATAGGAACATGGACACTAAGTCACTTCACTTCCTGACACGATTTCATTCTGGCATTTCACCTTATTGTAAATCCTGGGTCCAGGAGTCCATGTGGCACTGTCCTGACTGTCCTGTCACCCTGTCTCCAGCTCTTACACATCATCACATCTGCAGAGGCGAGCTCACCCAAAACATCAGGCCCATGCTACTCTGTCATTTCTCTGGCACTTGCTGTCTCACAGAACTTATGCAGGCCCTGCAGGTCTCAGGATGGGGTCCCCATTGGCTAAATGACATTGTATAAGGGAGACGGTGAACACGGCCACTCTGCCTTACTAGGTAAGGAAACCAGATCTGACTCTTTCATGGGGGCCTTTCATCAGAAACCTGGGGAACATTCTGTGTGACCTCATAAAGGACTGGGCCACCTAGGATGAGACTCTGTTTTCTCACCTCTACAAGGGGAGGTTGTCTCAGGACACATGGGCTGTTGTTCTTCATGCATGGAATTATATACATCCTGTACGCAGCTAATAAGCTGGTTACATAATGGTAGTATTTGTAGGTTTCCTTCTGAAATTCAACTTTTAGTATAAGAATCCCTTTTCTGCTGGGCCCCTCATGTGCCCCCTCTGGCATGAGCCTATATGGACCATTTGGAGTGTCATTGTTGCTTTAGCCTCAAACTCTACTGGGAATTAATGGGGTAGGGCACACTAATTCCATGACACTCTACTGTCTCATCACAGATTGGAAATCCGTCAACCGAGAGCTTGGCAGAGGTCTGCACAGTAAGCACAGTGAGGCAGGGATTCCTCACACTCCAGTGGAGACCTTGGGGAAGGACTTCCAGGATAACAAGAGCAGGTGGGTGCCATCAATCCATGAATGCACATGAAGAGACACTATGTGCAGAAACATTGACCATGATCCTAGAAGCAGAGCAGATGCCATCACTGCCCTTTTGGATTTCAATGTTGGGGGCCACAAAGTCACCCTGGGCAACAGTTCAGATATTCCTCACACTAAGGTAGATTCCACCCTTTCCTGGCCTCCACAGATGTGGATACAAGCAGTGCAAGTGTGGCCAGAAAAGATAGAGAACTGAGCAACCCATTACTGCATGAGCAAGAGACTCAGCTCTCACTCCTACTCACAGACTCCTACTGACCCCTCACATCTCACATATTAATCCAGCAGCCCTGTGCCCTTGAGGGCAAGGCCACAGCAGATACCAATCCCTGTCCTCATGGAGCTGACCTGCCAGTGAGGAGAGGCAGAGGTCAGGCTTCCCTGAAGAAACAGAGCTATCACACCACTAAACAAGGACTGATTCCCATGGAGCCTTCTGCCAGCCTGTCAGGGCTGCCTGGGACTGCACTGTCCCTTTCAGGGTGGGGAGCTTGTAGACCTGGCACTGCACAGATTGGGCAGGAGGCCCCTGTGTTCATACTGACAGGTGTCCTGGAAAGATAGTGTGGATCTAAAGGCCAGGCCTCTCACTTTGCTGCCTACCTGTCTTCCCCAGGTGCACCTTTTCTGTCTTTGACTCCTCAGTGGAGCTGAAATCCCAGGTGCATCCCCAGGATGAGCTTCTCCAGGACCACCTGGTGCCTCCTGAGTCCTCTGATGAAGAGCCCCAGGGTGAAAGGGCTGTAGAATGGAACTGCGGACAGGATACGGGCCTTGAAACACAGAAAGGCTGTGAGCTGTTGAGTGACTCATGAACATTCAGACACTCAGCGGTCAGTGGGGGGCTGCAGGCTGGGAGGACTTCCTGGGGGTGTGTTGGTGCACACAGCTGTCTCTGACAGGCAGAGAGTTTTGCCCAGAAGGGAACAAGAAAAGTTGGTGATCTTTTCTCCTCTTGCAACTGCAGTGCCAGCTCCAGCCCACGCTGATGTCCCACCTGCAGAGTTCGTGCCAACTGCAACTGCAGCTCCCTCACCAGCTCTGACCCCACAGCAAGAGCCAGGACCTGAAACCCCTTCTCCACCAGCTGCAGAGCTGCAACTCCTGGTGGCTCCACAGCAAGTGCCATCTCTTGAGCTCTACTTGGGGCCAACTCTTGACCCATACCTGCAATTCCTCTCCCTTACAGATTTAGTTACTATTGTATTTATTGTTACTCTTATTTCCCAGAGACAGGCCAATGATAGAATTATTTAAAATAAAATTTAAGCTTTTAGTCTTGTTTAAAATGATCAACTTGCTGCATTTTCAGTGCATTCTCATTCATTCGCAGTGTTGTGCAACCTTCACCATTGTCCAGTTCCAAGACATTTTCAATACGCAAAGGCATTTCCTCCCTTCTCCCCTGCTGCTAGATCCACTCATCTTATGTCCTTGTAATTAATCTATTCTACATTTTTCACAAAACTGCAATCATATTGGTCTTTGGCTGCAGAATCTTGGAAGCTACTGTTCAATCTTGCTTATTGGAGGACAGGAAAATCCTAGATAGATTCCCATGATTTCTCATCACAAACTAAATTATCCAGTGTTTTTTCAGACAAGAGATAAGTTTTGCAGTAAAATACAGAAAGCACCATAAGGAAAGACACAGAGATAGTAATCCTACAGAGGAACAGGGACCTCTCCCCGGGGTGCTCCTCCTTTGTGTCTTCATCCTAGGGTTCAGGTGTGCATCTCTCGGGTGGGGGATGGGGAGTCTGGCAGAGCACAGCTCTCCTGTCATCTCATGTATGCACTGGGGACATGGCACAGTCATCCTCCATCCCTTGACAATTTCAGTGCCTACACTGTGACAGTTGTCTCAGCAACTTTTGCTCTATACTCTTTCCAAATTTTCTCCCCCATACCAGAGCTGAAGGAAACAGCTGCATCTGTCAGTGTCATTTTTTTTTTTTTCACCTTGTGGGCACATTTATTCTACTCCTTGACTCACGGGATAAATTAGGTCGATGTGAGGTACAAGAGCTCATGCTGGAGCAAACCTGTCCTGAGCACAAAGGCTGAAGTTTCAATTGTAGAATCTTGAGAAAAAAGTGACTTCTTTATGGAGGAAACTTGGCAACGTGTCTTACTTTGACTATAATTTACATCTATCCACAGCATGCTTGTGTGGCTTCCTGATGTGTAGAGCGGGCTCTGGCTTCCAGCTAAACATGCTTTTCAGTGGAAGACTTGCCCACCGGCTCAGGTCTGGGCACATCTGTGTCAATGAAGTACAGGTTGAGTTCTCTCCTACCTGAAGGAAACCAGGAAGGTTGGCAATCTCAAGACAATAAAAACACTGGTATGCATTCAAACCTTGCATAAATAACTTTTAAACAATTTGTACAAAAATAGTTCTGCATAATCAAACAAAATGTGTCAGGATGGCAGCAGATGCGGCATGTGATCCACATTGTGTTGACACCAAAACCCTCGACCTTGCAAGGACCTGGGTGTCCAAACAAAAACACCACCAAAGCAACCCCAAACCCCATGCCCACGTGAGCCCTCCTCTCCTGACTGGAGCGTCTCCTCCCAAGGCTACCTGAGAAGTGGTCCAGAGAGCAGCGTGGTCACCACGCAGAGCAGAGCAGGCGCCCCTCACTCACTGGCGAGGGGCGAGCCGCCGCTCCCTGGGCGAGACCTGCACACGGAATCGCTGTCGCCTGTAGTCCGGGTCCAGAGTTCCAGTGGGAAACAAAGCCCTCCATGGCTATAACATCCTTCCCTGCTGCCACTCCCTGCCCTGCCCAGCATTTACACGCTTATCCTTGGACTAACTCAGTTTTTGCAGGAGTTTTTCTTTGACTTGCCCGAACTGGACACTCACGGACATCTCGGCAATAAACTGCTCACAGCCTTCCTTGGTGACTTGCTTCCAGTACCTCAGGTCAATATGCCAGATGTTCTCACAGCGTTTGAAGGAGGACAGGCACTGATCAGTGACCTTATTGCAGTCTGACAGGATGATCTCAGTCAGAGAGTCCCGGGTGGTGGTGCCGACCACAGTGAGCAGGTTGATGGACTGGTCCGTGACGTGGTTACAATAACTGAGGTGCAGCTTGGAAAGCAGGGGCATGTGGCGGATGATGAGTCCCAGGGAGGCGTCTGTGATGTCCAGGCCTGCCAGACACAGCTCCACGATGTTCCGGAGCTTACTCCGATTGTCCATCTGACCCGGCCTGTTATCTGTGGGCAGGGACATCTGGGCGTCCTTGAGCCCTTCTACCCACTGGATATCCAGGGTCTGCAGCAGCGGACAACTGGAGCTACAGAGCGCAGGGACTGCAATCCAGGAGCAGCTCGCCAGCATCAAGTCTCGGAGCCCAGGCAGCCGGTTGAGGAGCCAGCTCAACTGCTTCTTAGAGATGTTGGTCCAGCTGAGGTCGAGGGAGACGGGCTGGCGCCGAATGATGCCACTGAGCGTCAGGGGCGTGATGGACTTGCAGTGGTTCAGGTCGATGCGGGTCCACAACCGCTTATCAAAGCACCAGCGGTTCCAGGTCCTGCAGACCCGCATGCAGACACACAGGTCTTGGTGGCTGAGGTAGCTGAAGACGGCCATCCACACCTCCCTGTGCATGACGTGGGCCGCCCCATCGTCCAGGGGCAGCGAGTCGGGTGGGGGGCTGATGGGGGGCGGGCGGATCACGTGGCGCTCCATCTGGATGCACTTGGGCGGGGACACAGAGGGTGGGGGCCGGGAGATGACACGGGGCGGGCTGTGCACGCCGTGGCCCAGCGGGTGCCGCAGCTTCCGGGGCGGGGCGGGGGGGGCATTGAGCCCCTCGCTGAAGCGGTGGGGGCGCTCACAGAGGCCCAGCGGCCGCTTGGGCTCCTCATTCTCGTTCTCGGGCTCTGACCTGATGGGCTGGTGGTTCTCGTGGGCCAGGCTGCTCTCTGTTTTCTGGATCTAGTGGTTGAGCTCCTTGCTCGGCTCCTTATTGGGAAGCCGTTTCCAGCACCATCTTCACTTTCTTCTTTTCCTCCGAGCCCTCGGCCCCTCAGTGCTCGGCCCTGCGGTGGGCGAGCTACAGCGTGAGTGGTCGCTGTCCCTGCTTCTGGGGCCGCCTCAGGCAAATCATCTTCTGGCTCCTGCTCGAAGCGCCGCAGGGGCTTGGTAGCCAGTGGCATCTGGTCCTCAGCGTTCTTCCAGGACCTCCGCTTTTTCCTGAAAAGCTTACCTTCTTTGCCACGCTTTGGCTGCTGCTCGAAGTAAGTGAGACTGGATCTCCACCAGGGGCTGAGGCTGCTGCCTGGGGGGGGCCTCGGCGAGAGGTGAGAGGAACCGGGGACGTTTGCAGCGTGGGTCGAGGCTCGCCTGTGTGCGCTCAGCTCCTGGGGCTTCTCATAGTTCCGCTTCCTCCTCAGGTGCACATTATCCGACTTTCGGCGCAGGATGCTGTCCACCGGCACCTTCTTGGGGTGCTCGGAGGACCTACATCTTAATAAGGAGCAGATGTGGAGGCAACACAAAGCCAAGGAATTTGTAGAAACCAAAATAAGAAACAGAAGCAGCCTAGGATACAGCATAACATAGGTCCAAATATATGTTGGCGACCAAATATATGAGCCAGGCACTGTGGATACAGTAAACCTGAAGAAATGGCTAGTCTCTCCTCAAGCTCCCAGGAAAGGAAGGCCGAGTGGTGAATTGATACCACTACTTGCCCTGCAGATGGAAGGGGTGTCCTTTCATAACCACAGCTAATGGTTTGGCAAAGTGTATACATGTAACATGTGCGTCATCCATTCTCAAGGTTCACTCATTTATCAGTGCACTGAAGACCCAGTCAGTACACACTAAGTTGCTACACTGGATAGCCCACACCAGAGTGTGAAGTCACTAACCTGAATCCAGAAAAGCACACAAAGTTCAGAAACCTTCTCTTAAGAAATGGGAAGGTGGCCTGGGGATTTAGCTCAGTGGTTTCGCCGCTTGCTGTGCAAGCCCAAGGACCCAAGTTTGATCCCCGGTACCAAAAAAAAAAAAAAGAAAAGAAATGGGAAAGTACGTCATCTTAAAATTTGGCAATTATGACAATAAAGCATTGACATTATAGAATTGTGTCCTAAGAAAGTAATGCTTTCATTAGATGTTTGGACTTGCTCATTTATTATTTCAGTGACATTTTAATAGTGATTATTTACCATATAATTTAAATTTTGTAATAATAAATAGTTATAAGTCACCAAAACCTTCTAATAGTTTTAGTGTGTTTGGCTAAGAAGCTGGCGAGAAGGATGGTCCTCTTGAAAAAAAGAGAAACTCCAACATAAGCAACACTTACACCATGAACTTGCACCTGAATTTACAGCCATATTTTTGAAACCCCATCATACAACTCTGACTATTGTCACAAATGATAAAAGTCTTAAGGATATTGAAGGGAAGAAATTAGGCTTTTTTGGTAGATGATAACAGGTTGCCCTATCTGATAAACAAAGGCAGTACATAGGGCCGAGGATTTAGCTCAGTGCTTTTGCTGCCTGCTGTGCAAGCGCAAGGACCCGAGTTCAATCCCTGGTACCAAAAAAAAAAAAAACAAAGGCAGTACTGACTTAACCAAAATGTGCCTATTTTAAGACACAGATATTCCTTCCACAGCTCCATAAAACATTTTTCAAATAATCCCTTTAAAAAGTAAGCTCCAGGGCCGGGGATTTAGCTCAGTGGTTTCTCCACCTGCTGCACAAGAGCAAGGACCCAAGTTCGATCCCTGGTACCAAAAAAAAAAGTAAGCTCTGAAGGGTAACTGTCATTCTTAGAGTGTAACTATTCCTAGCATACATCTTAAGTAGCAATAATCTATATGCATTTTTGTAGAGAAAAAAATGAGATCATTGTGACAAGATCTTTATAAAGAAGGATATTTGTATTAATTAGCTTTCATGTTGCTGGGACACAATACTCAACACCCACAATTTAAAGGAGGAGAGGTTTAATTTGGCTCATGGTTCCAGAGGATTCAGTTCATGGTCATCAGACTTCAAGGCAGGAATATCATGGTGGAAGGGTGTGTCAGAGAAAAGCTGTTTAGTTCATGGCACCCAGGGACCAGAGCAGGTGAACAGCATCAGACAGGAAGGGGCAAGGTCTCACCTCCATGACCTACCCAAACACATCCAGAAGTGTGCTTTACTTATCCCTTTACTTGACTCCCAACCCAATAAAGTCGACACAATTACCATCATATATGTATTTGATTTTTTTTCCTCACCACACTGAAGATTGAACCCAGGGCCT